TATCTGGGCTCTAGACTTTGGCCCAAAGGCACTTATATCCCAAATAAGAGGGTCCAGGAACAGATCAACACACTGTCAAGACCTGAAAACAAGTGAAATGCTGGAAAGCTCAGTGCAACTGGGAAGTCTTGACACCCTTTGAGCAGCTCTGTGTTACAGGAAGACGCTGAAGGAAGCAAGGACAGGGGCAGGGAATGGCCCTGCACTGTTCCATCAGCAGGTGTCAGCACACACCTGGGTTTGCAGGTACCTGGCAGAGCTCCTCGTGCCCTGGGCACACCGGGTGAGGACCTGAAAGGCATCACTGAAGGGCAATCTGTGCTTTAGATTTATGTATTTTACTGAACCTCTCGTTGTGTCCTCATAGCCTGAAGCTGTCTGTTTAATAACAGAGCACATTTTAAGCCATAACAACTTTAGATTACCTGTTCCAAACCAATCAACTGTGGTTTATTGATTTTAATAAACCAATTAAGTGGTTTATTAAGAAGTCTACAACTGCAATTATGTTCTGCTTTGCTGTCTTCACATCACCTCTTTGTACCACTCTAGTTAAAAGTCACATACCACAGAAAGTGTTTTTAAAATGAGGAGGCAATTAGCAAACATTCCAAATTTATTGGCTATATTATTTATAAATAATATTATTTACTTAAAAGCATTTAACACTATTTTCTGCCTATGATGCACATTGACTGTACTGCTCCTGAAATAAATAAGCATAATCTTGTAAACTATGGCTGCTTTTATTGCTGTCAGTCTTCCTTCTCTGACTGCCCCTTACCTCAGTGATTCACTGTGCTGACAGTGAAGACACTGCTAACCTGAATATTTGGAGCTCTGAGACTCAGACAAACCTGGCCATGGCAAAACAAGGGCAGTTGCAGTTGTTATATTTACATTCGAATTGCCTGTGACTTAATAAAAATACATCTTGGTGTGGTGACCTGCCATGGAAGCCCAGGTGGATGTTCCAGGGCAGCATATTTGGAATTAATTTCCAATTTCTGTGAGCAGAACTGATCCACTCTGAGGAACAGAATTGCACAGCTACAGAGACACAGACACCCAACAATCCTCCCAGATTTCTAAATGCTACCTACCAAAAACCTCCTGTTGAACCAGCATTTCAAAAATGTATCTGCTCTGAACCGGACAGCACAAGATCTGAATTTCCACTGCTGAATGCTAATACACAACATTTGTCATATTTTAATTTTATTTTTTTTTAATACAGTGCAGCTTTTTACTCCAGAACTTGTTAGCAGCTGTTTAGCCTATGAGTCATTTGGAAGACTTTCACCTCAAAGAATAACTCCAGAGGAAGAGAGGAAAGGCTAAAATAAAGATTTGTGGCAGACTAAGTGAAAGATGGCTTTCAGTCGTGAGTAAGAGCAAAACACACAGGGAGTAACTACTCATTTGGGTGGGGAGATGGAGATAAGAAAAAGGGAGGACACCGAAAGGGAGGTGGGAGGCAGAATAAATGAAGGACATGGATGAGGCAAATGCACAGAACCTTTAAACACCAGTATGGCAGAGCATAGACTAAGCTATAATTTCTTAAAGCTTCTTATTGCCACTGTAAAGGGCATATTAAATCCACCTCACAGATCAGAAGATTCAGGCTGGCACGTATGGAGAGGTCTGAGATGCATCCAGTGATTTGTTTATATAAAACCAAGAAAAGAAATGTGAACTGAAGGGGGGCAAGTTCCTCACATGCTCTCCTTGGTAAAACCAAAGTCAGTTAAATTACTCTACAGGGTCTAATTATCCTACTAAATTACCTAGAGAAAACAATAATAATTTAAAAAAGCCAGACAAATTATATTTACCAGAGTGTTTCAGTTTGAAATGAACATTAAAAAAACAAAGGACTGTATCAGAATCTAGTATTTCTGGTTTTTTTTTTAATAAATTATTTTTTCCTGTTTCCTCCCAGTCAGTTATTAAGCCTGGCTGTGCCTGATGGAATCAATACCCCAGTCATCACAGTGACTCCTTTATTACTCACTCACTGTAGGATTTCCTGTGTTCAACAGAGAGCTCTGCAATAGTCACCTGACTGCAGGCCACTGTGAGAGGAAAGAGCCTGCAGCCAAAAGTGGAATGTTTTGCACCGTTCTGGAGGAAAACTTGACAAGGAAACCAGTAACACATGACAGTCCCAGGACTCAGCAGCTCCACTGACCCCTCTGCCTTCCTTGGTGTTGGCTTTGGCAGCTGCTGCCTCTGCTGCTGAAAACTGAGGGGAAGTTGATGAGTTTGACACATTCTCAGCCTACAAAGCTGGGTGTGATTCCACAGCTACAAAAGCCTTTGAAAACCCCATGGGTTGGGCCTGGGGAAAACCAGCAAATGTGGTATTTCTTTGGATAGGTGTTGTTATTGAACTTCACCTTCCCATCATTATTCTGACCATTAGAAATACGCTGAAAAATTAATAAGAGAAGGAAGTTTAGAATATCTCTCTACTGCTAGAAAGAGAAGAAGCCTTTTTATTTGCAAAGATTTAAGGTATTCATTTCATGGAGTGGATTGAAAGGCAATAAAATATTTTTTTGGGGGATAATTTAACACCTCAAAAACAATTCGGGGAAAAAACCCATTGAAAACCTCAATGGCTGTTTTATAACAATGTGAGAGACTGACAGTGCTCACAGATATTCCCACCCATCCATCTGCAGGTACAGGAATGGCTGACTGGAAATAGCTGAAATATCTGGAATCTAAGGCACCAATATCATGACATAATTGTCAACATGAGCATCCCTAGAAGGACCAAGCAGCTCTCAGATCATGGGGTTTGCTTGATTGTGGACAAACATGGACATTGTAGTAACAGGGCAAAGAGCACAGAGGTAGAACATGCTCTAACTGAGCATGCTCTGAGTACCCTCTAAGAGTAACACATTAAGAGATTAAGACATTAAGATATTATTCTGAAACATTACTTCACCACCACTTCTTTAGCAATAAAAAGGCTGTAAAACAAAGCTGAAAGATTTTTGTTCAGATTGCCACGACTGTACAACAGATGCTTACTGATGACAACTGATGACAGGGCATAACAGCAAAAAGCAAACAATCAAAACCAAACCGTCCCTTTGTAAATTTAATTCTAAATAAAAAAAGACAGTAAAGCAGAGTTCCTTCCACTGGGTCAGATCCATTAAGGTTTCAAAACAGAGACGGTGTCTGTGAGGTGTTTTGGTTTTGATTAAAGGTGATTAACTACTGACTCACTGAAAAGGTGAAGAAAAGTCTTGCTGCCAACACGGTGTCAGCAAGAGCTCACAGAGCCCCAGCAGACAGACACGTGCTCTTTGATATGGAGCTTTCACAATGGGAACTGAGCCCTCCCAATATCAGGAGTTTAACCGGCTCTGGTTGCCTTTAAAAGTTTCATTTACTGCCACTGAAGTGCTAAGTGCCTTGAGGAATTTATTGTTCTTGATTAGAGGTTCTTTTGAAAGCACAAAAATTGCCTCCTCTGAGGATTCAAATGTAAGAAATCATCAAGAATGGTGAAATGCAGCCTTCAAAGGTGATCTCCATGTGGGAATTTATTTCAGGGTGTTTGGGTTGATGGCACAGACATCAGCAATCAGCACTTAGTAAGATCTGTGCTCTTCTGACAGGAATATTTGGGAAAACAAATAACAGAAACCCACTGGCTGTGCTGTAATATCACAATATTTATATAATATAATAATATAAATATAATATAATAATATAATATCACAAACTGTTTCTAGAACTACCAACCAGCATCCCTGGGCTGCCCCAGCTGTGCTGCAGAGCCTGTGCAGGACAGCTGAGAGGTTTGGGACAGACTGAGCCCTGGCCACGGAGACCTGAGCTTGGCTTCAACATAACTACCCTAAATTTGTGTAAGGGAAAGGCCCCAAATCAGCCAATCTCAGCACAGAAAAGGCCCCTACAGTGAGCAGCTGATGACCTGCCTCTTTCCCAATATCCCACACATCCTTATCCCACACATTCTGATCTTCACAAGCCAGTGTTGTGCAAATCAGCTGTCGCTACTTCTTTGATTTAAATCAATACTTTGATTTAGCTAACAAAGCTAAGGACTAATTCAGTTTTCTGACTACAGTTCCACTTTAAAAACCAGGACACTAAAAGGGTTTGTGAGCTGTAACTTTTAAGTAGTGTGGAAAAGGGAATTCTAGTAAGATGAATACAAACCAGAAAAATTATTTCATCAAACAACTGCCACCAACTGTAATCATCCCTCACCAACACACCTGTATTCATAATGTCTCCACATTGTACTACAAACAAGAATTACAATGAATATAAAACTCTGAGGGTGTAGCTAATGAAAAGCTTTGACCAGAAATAACAGTGGCTTGAATCTACAAACACACCACCATGTGCCTGGAGAGACCTTCCTGTATGTTATACAGGATTTTATACACTGATTTTATACACTGAGCAAATGTACTCTTACACAAACCAGAATTAAAGCATGACTGTGCCTGTGCATTCCCCTATGAAACAATTCGTAAAAAATGCAGATTTGAATATTTTTATTCTCAGAGAAGAATATATATACACCTCGATGAGAACTGCAGGTAGCCCCAAGTCACTAAAATTCAACACTGCAAAATTCATCCATAATGAATCCACACCAAACCAAACAGTCTGCAAATCAGGGCCCTCTGAATACTAATTTCTCCTTGTTAGTGAAGAGCTCGTGGTATCAATCAATTCCATAGGCCCTGAATCCCACCTTTTGTAAAGGGTACAACCCCCCCACCCTGCCCTCTCCTCATTGTCAGGAAGTGTTGCCAATATTATCATTAGCAAAAGAAGGGTGGAGAAAACTGCATTGCATTGTATTGCAACATTATAAACTTTTATTCCTGCCTATGACCCGGGCTCTTAGTCTCCTGTGAAGACACCTCAGACACACTTGGAAACAAGTCTTGACACAGCAGAGATTTTTGAGATTTCGCTTCCACTGAAGTGAAATGGCATCTGTTTGTACAACTTTAGCAATTATAGGAATGATTTATATTTCTCCTGTTCTGATACCAGCGCTGTTTTTGGTGGGGGTATTGTATGATCTTTTCAATTCAGAGCTGCCACCTGGGATTGACCAACCTCTAAAGCTCCGTTTTTGCAATGCCGTGATGATTTCAGCCATGATCGCGGTAAGTCACCTTCCTTCAGACTGGGATTGCACTTGGATTTGGGAAGGACAGTTGGGAGCTGGAAGATAATGGCTTAAAAAAAAAAAAAAAAAAGGAAGCAATTCAGCCCCCTGAAGCCTGTAAGCACTGATATATGAACCAAAACATGTTAAATTAACTCATAAAACTGAGATGACTAATCCTAAAAGCTTCTTTGGATTTTTCAGTCAAACTGCAGCCACTTTTTTTCTGGAAAACTGTTTCATAGGACAATTTAAAGCAAGGATTTAGATGTATCCTGTACCTATTGAAGTGCATGTACATATAATAATCCTGTCTGTTCAGGAGCAAGCCAACATTACTCCTCTTCTTCCAAATTCTTTCTTTCCAACAGGGAAAGATATTGCAGAAGGTGGGGATCTGCAATGAATTCACTGTACTGCGAGTACTGCTCGATGGAATACCCCCCTGGAGAGACTCCAAACTGCTTATCAAAGATCTCAAAGTAGATGAGGTACCCCTGAGGATTTATCAGCCCAAAAGCCCACCCACTGGCAAAAGAAGAGGAATTCTGTATTTTCACGGAGGCGCTGGCACATTTGGGAGCATTAGTAAGAAATGGGCAAGTTTTATTTTTCAAGTCAAATCCAAACCTCTACATTTTTACCTCCAGACATGTCAGTCAGTGTGTGCCCTGTCCTTCCCAATGACACCTGTCTTTGCAGTCTCAGTGCTAGAAAGTGTTTGTGCTCAGTGCTGGAAAGTGTTTGTGGAATGAATAGTGTCATGTTAGGGGAAGTCACATCTCTGCTTCCTTTGGGTTACAGATCCCAGAGCCCCTCACTCAGCTGTCAGCAGAGGGACTCTGCTCTGCTCAGAATACTCTTCTCCTACATAAAATATATAACATGGGCCCAAGGAAGAATTTAAAGAATACATTTAAAAAAAAAGAATCTGTAAATATATTCCCATTCATGCAAACATGAATCCAAATGAAGGGAAATGCAAATAGTGAATGAGCAGTTTGGGGAAGTTTGATTCTTGTGGTGACACAGGATCCTTGACATTTTTTCCCAGAAAGGGAGACAATCCTTGTTGTCTCAGTAGCTGGGAGCTCAGCTCCTGACTGCTCTGGATCCCCTTCTGAGCAACCAAGGCTACAAGTGCTTTGTCTGGAAACCAAGGCCCCTAGTATGAAAATCTGGATTTCATTCCAGGGGCCAGACAGGGTAATTTCTAGGGTTTAAATCTTTTATTGTTTCAAAGGGCGGGTCTGCACTAGCACTGTATTGGGCAGACTTCAGGTTCCTGGTTCCTTCAGCACCCTGCAGGAACAATGACCTAACTCCCAGTGCCTCAGGTTCCACTCTGCACTGGGCAGAAATTATCTCCCCTGGCTTCACTGCACGTGAAGCTGGGTGGTGTGTCAGGTTCTTTGTCTGGAGCTAGTTTGGGTGGCAGTGAGGACTCAAGAGATGAGCCCCTGTGATCTGATGAAAGGTGAATTCCTTTCACTGGAAGAAAAAAACACACCACAAGTTGCAGAGTGAGTGGTTGTTCACATGCCATGGCTGAAGGTAGGAGCCATCCCCGGGCACTGAGTGTGGGACCTGGCCTTTGGTTCAGTTCCCATTGGAACTCGATAACAGGAAAGCCACCAGCATGATGACAAGCTTTCAAAAGGACTTGGGGAATCTCCAGCCCAGGAGGCCTGAAGTCTGCAACCAGCAGACCAGCAGAAGCTACAATGAGGAACAGAATCAATGGACAGATGAATATGGCTCATTCCTTAAAATCCATACAAATGGAAGTCATGCTTCATGCACAAACCACAGAATCCCAGAATGGTTCGGGCTGGAAGGGACCTTAAAGCTCATCCAGTCCCACCCCCTGCCATGGGCAGGGACATCCTCCACCAGCCCAGGTTGCTCCAAGCCCTGTCCAACCTGGCCTTGGACACTTCCAGGGATGGGGCAGCCACAGGTTCAGAGTTAATGGCCCCAAATGGAAATAGTGAATGCCAGGCTCAAAAGGAGCAAATAGAAATGGCTCTTCACACCTTTGTGAGCAAGTGAGGGAACTCCTCCCTGCACAAAGCTGTTAATGTTAAAATCATGGGGTCGAGAAGTGGTTTGGGTAATTCAGAGCAGAAACATTAATCAAGGGCATTAGACAGCTTCTGTCTCAGAGGAGTGCCCAGAGTCCTGTATGCACTCATAGCCTTGGTTGCTCAGAAGGGGATCCAGAGCAGTCAGGGGCTGAGCTCCCAGCTACTGAGACAACAAGGATTGTCTCCCTTTCTGGGAAAAAATGTCAAGGATCCTGTGTCACCACAAGAATCAAACTTCCCCAAACTGCTCATTCATTATTCCTGTATGGTCCTTATTACTTTATGTTTGTCCTCAGCTTATGCTCTGCTCAGCTTTTGTTGAGCTCTCACACCAGGTGAGGTGTGAGAGCAGCCTGGACAGATTTCTGGGTTTCCCCAGTATCACCATCCTTACCTGCCCTTGTGATGCCCTGACAGCCACAGACCAACAACCAGAGAACTTGTTCACATGTAAAGATCATACTGCAGAGCAGAAGTAACTCACTGGTCTATATTTTCATTTCAAAGGGATATTTGATTTTCAAACCATCATTTCTGATAAACTTTCTCTTTAGGAGCCTTTGAAAGAATATGCCGCTATATGGCCAAAAAATGCAACTCAGTGGTTGTGTCTGTTGGGTAAGTGTTACTTTTCCATAGAAGTATTTATGGGAATACAGCTCTCAGTTGAAATATTTCTGAAAAATATGCTAAAAATATTTACTATTTTAGATCATGCTCCCTATTTTTCACTTAATTTAGAATTTATTTAATTTAGAAATGTGCTTATAGGCGAAATAGCCGTAACACCATTAGTTTGGCCTTCCAATCTACACTAGTTAAAAGAATATAATCTTTAAAATCTAGGAAATAAAGGGCTACATAACTATCACAGCAATCACAAGCATCACAAATTCAATGTTTGTAACTCTGTTGACAATGACCGCAATATCTTTGGCACTTCAGGTACCGTTTGGCTCCAGAACACCCATACCCAGGGCAGTACTTTGACTGTCTCAATGCCACCTTGTACTTCATGAGGAATTTAGAAGAGTACCACGTGGATCCTGCTCTCATCATCGTTAGTGGGGACAGCTGTGGAGCTAATTTCGCTACGGTTATTTGCCAAATACTGCTGAATAATCGAGATCTGCCAAAAGTACGTGCTCAGGTCTTGCTTTACCCGGGGCTGCAGGGGCTGGATTTCCAGCTGCCCTCCTACCAGCAGAACGCTTCAGTGCCCATCTTGTATCGGAAGCTGGTTCTCTACTTCTGCTTTCGTTACCTTAACAAAGAACCTAAATTTCTGAAAGATATCCTGCACAACTGTCACGTTTGTGAGAGCGTGAGGAGCAAGTATAAAAAATGGGTGAGTGCTGACCTCGTTCCTGATGAATTTAAGATTAGAGGCTACGTACCCCCGACACCCCCGTCGTACAAACCTGAAGTCTATGAAACTATCAAGGAAGTTTTAGCACTGACATTTTCCCCACTTTTAGCTGAAGATTCTGTTATTTGCCAGCTCCCAGAGGCCTACATTGTGACCTGTGAGTTTGATGTGCTGAGGGATGATGGACTGTTATACAAGAAGAGACTAGAGGACAATGGTGTTCAAGTGACCTGGTATCACTCTGAGAGTGGCTTCCATGGAATTCTAGCCTTTTTTGGCTATGGGATTTTTTCCTTTCTTTCTGGAAAAAAGATAGTGGATAATCTGGTGAATTATATAAACAGTTTATAGAAGGATTTTTCAGAAGAAAGATGCAAGTCTGGCATTATCCTTGATGAATTTATACTTGGCAAAGAATGTAAACACTATTGATCTACGGTTTGGATTTTGACTGCATTTTGTACTTTCTAATTTCTGCTTCTGCAGTGACTCTCAAACAAAGGTTCAGATTATTTAAAGCACCACCATTCTAGAAAACACAGCAGTAAGACCGAGATGCAAAGGTGAGGCACCTGGCCTGACCTGTTTCCCTAAAACAATTCCAGTATCTTGGCATGGCTGGCACTCACTGAAGGGAAGTGGCAGGAATCTGCCTGGAGAGTCTTCAACTGCCCAGAAATGCTGAAGACAACAACTGAGGTCTGCTTTGGCCCTGGTGAGACAGGAGGTGGTTATGGTATCAGATGGAGAGCTCAGGTTCTATGAAGTCTTGTGGCAGACAGTGGAATTGCAGCCATGAATTTAATTCCTAGGGTTAATCTGCACAAAGACTGCTCTAGAAAAAGGGTAGGCAAAAGGAAGGCTCCTGTCTGGAGCAGAAGTCTTAAACTGGAACGAGAATGAGTTTGATTTTGTCTGGAATCTGAAAAAAATAATGTTTCATTTTGGAACTTCATTCTTAAACTGGAATCCCTGAACTTCAGTGAGTGTGTACCTGTCAGGGAAGTGCAGAGCTGAGACTTTTCTTTTCTGTAGCCTTTGTTTTCCTTTCAGGATTATCTTGTGCTCAAGGCTACCTGTTATGCTGTTTGTTGAAAAAGTTCTGAAGACCATGTAAGAAGGTAGAGAAGCACAAGATTATATTATCTGTATTATCACTGTAATGCTGTGGCGATTCTGTGATGCTTTCAACAACAAAAAATAAAAGCTAGCACTGCAAATATCTGTGTGGCAAGAGTAGGAGTTACATTTGCTAAACACATACTGACTGATAAACCTGACTGAACCTTGTGGTGAAAGGAACCACAAAACACAGGCAGGCAGAGACAACAAGCTTGCTAATTCCACCTGGTCACATCTGTGCACAGTAATTGGCTAATTAGACAGCTGGATAGGATCACATAACTGTGAAAACATAACACAAACTGAAAGTCCAGGAACACTGCTGGGTGGACTATTATTTTTTTAGTGAACTTTTGCTGGGTTTAAACAAAATATTACCCTCTACTACAGAATATTTTATCATGACCTTACTAAAAACACTCAACTTCTCACAGGGAAAAAATATAAAATTAATTTTTTATAAAGTTTTGTAGCTAAAATGACATGGTACTTCCCCCCATCACTTACAGTTTAAATTTAAAACAACAACAACAACAACAACAACAAAACCATTGCTGCCTACTAAACTTAGATTCTTATCTCTCTCCTTTCCCTGGGAATTTGCAATGCCAGTGTTCTGACATCCTAGTTGTTTGAAGAGTTGCAGACTTAGATTCACAATTGATTAATTAATTATCAAGCATCATTTAAAATACACCATCTCTGCATTAGCACAATCCCATTCCTCAGCAAGAACAAGATAAAGTAGTTTGATTTGAAACTCTTTAATCACTAGTAGCACACTGAGTTACTGAAGGTTACCTCCTACAAGGTCACCCAGTCATGAATCTGAACTTCCTGTGGCTTTTCTTAACCACAGACTTCTGCTAAAAGAAAACACAAACACTAAAAAGACCTGATATTGGGGAAATGACATAATTTTCTAAGTGCACCTTTCCAAAAGAGCACTGGGGTGGATCCATGTGGCCCTTTGGAGTGACAATCATCACAGGCAGGTTCCCAGCTCTGAGGGAACTCTCCTTCAGGCAGGTGTTTTACAGTGTCACAGACTCAAAGCACACAAATGCCCTGTGTCCATTTTCCACCTCCAACTAATTTGATATTAATGCAGTTCATTCTCCCACCTCGGGACTGGTTTCTTGCAAAAATTCCAAAATGGTGCTAGCATAGACCTGTTAATGAATCCAGGACTTGCACCAACTTATCTTTTGTGAGATAACAGGAGTGAGGGAGACAGAAAGTAGGAGAGGGAAAGATACCTGCTAATGTATTTGTAAAGGGGAGGAGGGGGGTTTTTACCAGAGCAAACAAAGACTCAGGAAGTAGCAAGCCAAATATATCTTGGAAAGAGTCAAATCAAAGACATCTCAGATCACTGCTGTTCAGCAGAATGGCAGTGGTACTCACAGTGCTGGTGTTATTCTTAGCAGGTTTTGTTGCTGGATTTATACTGTTGGTCATGGGGGCGATTAATTTTGATTTTTCCAACTCAGAAATTCCTCCTGGAGTGAACCAGCCTGCAAAGCTCCGAATCATTCATATAATTTTAATAAGCACAGCTGTGGTGGTAAGTGAACCTGGTGTGATTTCTGGGGGAAGAACAGTGAACCTGTAGATTTTAAACTTAATGCAGTGCTAGAAGCCTGCCTGGAAATTATTTCCAGAGAGGAGAGCAGGGCTTTGCTGTCGTGCTGCATGTTGTATTTAGCTCAGTTTTGCTAAAGAAACTTTTACCAGACTTTTGACACTGCACTGCTCTAGTCCAGTCCTGCCCAGCTCTGCCTTAGGTGGCACCAAAATGCTGCCTAACACAAGTGTGGGGAAGTCTGACCGTGCTTCTGCCATGGCTCGTGCTAACCCAGCAGTGATTTGACCAAGAATGTTTGATGAGGAGTTCTGTATTTGTTTTGAACATAAAATGAGAAACTGAACGTTTCAAAATTGGTTTTGGGAAGGGGGAGTTTGTGTTGCACAAGTGACAAAACGAGGTAATGTTGCCCAAGAGGAGCTGAAGGAATTCTGTCTGCCCTAAATACATTCATGTAACTCCTGCAGCAACCAAGCAGGATTGTCTGATGGGAATGAGGGGCTCTGGCCAGCCCAGCTCTCCCAGGTGAACCAGCCTGGGAAGGTAACCAGTCCCCAAAAGCTGCACTGAACAGCTGGTGATCTCTGCTGACAGAGGAGCTCTCTGAATCACGGGTGATTCCATGTACTGACAGATGTACAGGTGCTCTCGTGACAGGTGCTGTTAGATAGGAGATAGCAGAAATTGTGCATATATTTAATTTAATTAATTTAATTAAACATCTCCAAGAGGGACAAACTATTTAAAATTTAAACGAGGAAAAAAGGAAAAAAAAATTCTGTGTCAGAAATACTCTAGATTACAGTGGACCATAGGAAAGAATTCTAGATGTATTTTCTCATGCTTTGGCAGCACAGAGCTTGTAATTAGAAAAAGATTACTTCACCTAAGCTGGAAAAGCCAGTTCTCTCTTGATCATCAATCCACTGCCCACTTGTACCCTAAACCAGCATTATATGCTGCAATATAAACAACACAGGGTAAAAGAAAACAAGCAAGAAGAATGTGAGAGTGAGAGCAGGCATGGAGAACAGTATAAACAGCTGGAGTCACTAATGAAAAGGCCTGTCATAGGTAAATATATGGAGTCATGACACTGCTGACAATCCATGCAAATGTGGATGTGTAGTAAGAAATATTCATAATAGAATATTGAATATTGTCAGCTTGATCCAAATCTTCCTCAGGAGCAAAGTACTGGTTTGGCATGGCTACAGAATGTATTTCAAAACAGAGACTATGCCTTTCCTTTTGATTTATGCAAAGTTATGCTGGACCATATTTGATTTGTATTCTTTTCATCTCCCCCTGCCTGGCATGAATATCCCTGTGGCAGAAGTTCATTCCTACTAAATATCTCAGGGTCTTCTTGTCAGTACCTTGCACACACCAGTGAGACTTCTGAGATGAATCAAAAAGCAATTATCAAATATATTCTTAGCTTAATTCTACTTTGGGCAAGTATCTGTACCATAAAAATCAGCACCAGAACGATCACTTCTGCTCTGGTTTCACATCTTCTGGGGGGCAAGGATAGAGTAACCCATGAAAACCTATCTCACTTTCAATGTTAGGTAAAGGACCCACTGAGAAAGCAGAGAGATCTGTCTCACCAGTCTGTTAATTCTGCTCTGTCTGGGGTTCTGGGCTTTGGTTCATGTAACTCTCTGATAACCTCTCCTGATGCTGCTGTTACTTGTTCAGTTGTACTTTACCTGTACAACTACTCAGTTAATTTATCACTGCCCTAAAATTCATGACTGAGATACCCTGAGTTTACTGTCCACACAGTTCCTTTACTTTGGAAAGCACAGAATCTTTTCAGTGAACTCTCTGTTCTCTTTGCCTTTGAACAGGGAAAGATTTTGGAAAACATTGGCATCTGCACCCAGGTGAGCTTTGTCCGGTACATGCAAGGCAGAAAGACCCTGGGAGTGGACCCAAAGCTCTTCATCAAGGATCTGTGGTTTGAGAAGGTGCCTGTAAGGATTTACCAGCCTAAGGCTCTGTCTGCCAGCCAGAGGAGAGGTGTTATGTTTTTCCATGGAGGAGGATGGGTATTTGGAAGTATTGGTAAGATATCTAACAGAAAACACACTATAGTTTAGTTAAATACATACATACTTCATAAATAGTAAAGTTGGTTGTTGCTTGATCTGTGGCAGTTACAACCTTTGAGTATAACCACAATCTCCTCATTCTTGCTGCCAGAAGAAAGCATCTGCTGTGCTTCATGGAGCTTTTCTTACACACAAGGACAATTATATGAGGGGAAAATTAATGAATGAAGGGGTACAAAAGATCTGAGGAGCTGTGTAGGAAGGGGCAGAGAAAAATAGAGAGTATTTTCTTCTTGCAATTCTTTGACTTATGCAATAGGCAACATCAGTGCTCTGGGGAAAAACCAACCCAAACCCCACCACCTCTGTTTCTTTCAGAGACCCACGAAAAGCTGTGTCGCTCTATTGCCAGAGACAGTGACTCCGTGGTTGTATCTGTGGGGTGAGTCTCTGCTCCTGCTGCTTTTGAGAGATTATTTCCCATAGTGCCAATACCACCTTCTGTGCCCATCAGTCATAGCAACAACCTTCCTTGGAGAAATGTCTCTGTGGGACTTGTCGGGGGTGTGATTTACAAATTCACTCTGCTCTTCTCTGGAGCCACTGAAGATTGACTCGGGCTGTTTTCACTGTCTGACTACACCACAAATAATGCTTTGGGATATCTAGCTGGAAAATGAAGTTTTGGATCAATGTTTTCAAATTCCAAACTCAAAAGTGATTGTGAACAGATAGTAAGCCATATGATCTCCTTAATCCTTATTCAAGGAAAGCCTGCTTGATGCTTACAGAAGCATGACATGAATGACAAGCTAATACATCATCAAAATACTGGCATAATGATTCGAATTATGAGGATATAGTTACATAACTTTGCCTAACAAAGACATAAACCAGAAGTATTGCCACTTGTTCCTGGCCCATGGAAAGCTAAAGTAGAAAATAACTAAATGATTGTCAGTAAAACCTGCATATAGTTGGCAGCTGAGTACTCCTGTGTTGTTAAAGACCTGAGAGATATCATGAACAAATGATATCATGATAAAATAATCTGCACCACCCAGGCACAGTTTATTGATGATCAACCCGTGGAGACAATGAACATTCTGAGGTGATCAGGGACGTTGCAGGAACGTTTCAAACTAGTGTTTCCTTCCGTTAAATTGTTGCCTCTCTGTGTCCCAGGTACCGTCTGGCCCCTGAGCACAAATACCCCGCTGCCTACGAAGACTGCCTGAACGCCACCCAGCACTTCCTGCACCGCCTGGAGCACTACGGCGTGGACCCTGCCCGGGTCACTGTCTGTGGGGACAGTGCTGGGGGCAACCTGGCAGCTGCTGTGAGCCAGACCCTTGCAGGCAGGTCAGACCTCCCCAAACTGCGTGCTCAGATCCTGCTCTACCCGGGCCTTCAGGCCCTGGACTTCAATTTACCGTCTTATCAACAGAACCGGGGAGTCCCTTTGTTATTCCGAGAACGTGCTGCTTTCTATGTATTACAGTATCTAAATGGGAATGCAACGAATCTGGAAGAGGTCTTGGAAGGTTCCCATATTCCTATAGACATTAAATTAAACTACCAAAAGTGGGTGAGTCCAGACAACATCCCCGAGAAATTTAAGGTCAGAGGCTACAAGCCGCGTGTGCTGCTTGACTGTACAACTGAAGTTTTTGAGAAGGTGAAGAGATTCTGTGAGCCCAACCTGTGCCCTCTGCTGGCTGCAGACACAATTCTTCAGCAGCTGCCAGAATCTTTCATCCTGACCTGTGAGTACGACGTGCTGCGGGACGACGGCTTGTTGTACAAGAAGAGGCTGGAGGACAACGGTGTCCGGGTGACCTGGTGCCACCTCGAGGATGGATTCCATGGAATCATAAACTCCTTTGGTAGCGACTGGCTGTCATTTCCATCTGGAAAAAGGGGTCTTGACAACGTTATAAACTTTCTGAAAAGCTTATAGCGACATTTTTCTTCGTTCCTGTAAGAATTGCCAAATTCCTGTGGTCTTTTGTGCTTCTGAATTCCATATAAGAAGCTCAGATAGGACAATTGGTTAAAAAGCAATTATGCCAGGTGAGTAATGTAAAAGGTATTTCAAGAGTGCTATGAAAGTGTCTTTTAGTGCTGTTTGAAGTATTCCATGCACAGTCTGCCTATTTCAGTGATCTGTTTGGACCAGACACTTGTTATTCTCTCAGTAAACATAAAAAACGCAGTAAAATTTTAAGTCAACAGCTGGTCTGACCTATTTTATTCAGTTGTAACTGATGATTCCATTATTCCTAGAAGGGTGTGTTTTGGCAAAGGGGAGAGGCACAGGCACTGCAGAGCTGTAATGCAGAGCCTGTGCCCTGTGCTACATGTGGCACCCGAGTCTAAGAGTCCCAGTCACCAACTTGCAGAAGATGTCTGTGGGTGGGTAACTGGTATTTTAGACTCAAAAGAAATGAAGTTACAGCTGCAACTGCCCCCAACAGAGATACTCTATTGACAGCTTAGTTTAAATTACAGTGGAGGAAATGTTGTGTTTTCCTATGTTTATCAAACATGAGTATGCTGAAAAACTTGTGATTAAACAGAATCCTAGAATCAGGGAATGGCCTGGGTTGGAAGGAACATTAAAGCTCATCTCATTCCAAGCCCCTGCCATGGGCAGAGACACCTTCCACTAGACCAGGTTGCTCAAAACCTCAAATACTCTAACAAGAAAATAAGACTGATGCATTTACTTTTGCAGAGCACATTAGTTAGGTGCCCCCTCCTCCTGCCCCCCCGTGTTAGTTCCCGTTCTCTCTTCTAAATATCCTTGTTAAAACTACATATTCCAAACTACTTAAAGCATGCCCACAATAGAGGAAGCAGTATGTTGTGCCTGCAGATCAGTTGAACGAGACAACTCAACCTCCACATTCACTGGCTCTGCTTGTAAATACATGTCATAAACTAGAACTCCCTGCAGGACTCGGCTGCTGCCTCTGAACACTCACTCTTACCATCCACACTCCAAGGATTCCCTATAGAACACCAGGCCCTTTATCAGTGCCACAATTACCATAAAGATAAACAGGATATTAAACACATTGACTCATTGCCAATGTGGTAAGTGCTGGCCCATTGCATAACACCTCCAAGGACTTTAAAGTGTGTGACACTTGCCAAGATCTCTCTACCTGAGAGAGCCAAACCAAAGAAAGGTGTGAAGACACGTCATATTTGAATATGTGAAATGGCATTTTTGAATCTACTGCCAGTGATACTGCTGGTGATTATTGTTGCTTCATTCATGTTAGCAATCATGAGAACAATTCAAACTCAGTTTGCCCACCGCAGCATCCCTCCTGGAGTGAGCCATCCCGGACGACTTCGATTTATACTTGCTTTTATGATTGTTACAACTACTCTGGTGAGTAACTCTGCCATGATTTCTGCCAGAAACGTGGGTTAGGTGATATTTTCGTAAAGTTGTATGTGTAAATACCTGAGTCCTACTGGCTGCATCAAGGCTTAACTGATGACTTTTATTTTGGGGGGGCTTACTTGAGAGAACAATTTTTTGAAAAATCATTTCTGTTAGACCTGAAATAGAGTTTCAGCCAGATTTTTCCCTAATACATAGGGATTAAATCAACCATAAGTGCCCAAGCTTTATCAGCTGAGCTTCCTTAATTAAATTTAAAATTAAATATTTATAAAAAGTGAGATTACTTTGATTTCCACTTTAGCTAAGCACACATGATGTTTTTAGGCCATTCTTGGGGCTTTCCAGTAACAAGGACGGCTGGGTAATGGAAGTACCAGTAATGGAAGGCTGGGTGCTTTTTAAGGAGATGAAAACAGAAACCCAGGAAACCTTAGAGGGAAGAGAGACACCTGGGCTGCACGACTGGGGTGAAGCTGATGAGGCAGAGATGGAAACTCCTTTTCCCTGCCCTGGCAGAGGGAGTGGGACATGAGGCCCTACCTGCTCCAGGGCACCTGCTCATGTATCCATCCTCTCTGGTTCCCTTCTGGTGGAGAACAACTCTGGTGGAACAGGGAGAGCCCTGCAAACGTGATGCCCTGGTGCCCCTCACCAGGTGCCCCCTCAGGGCTCTCCTGCACCCGGGAGCAGCAGGCGCGGGGTTTTCCCCCCTGCTTTGCCCAGCTCTCCTCCCTCTCCCAACAGAGAGATGGAGGGAGAGGGACAGAGATGATGTCAGAGATGAGATGATGATGAGACAGAGATGGAAACTCCCTGAGCCATTTTGCCTGACAGAGAGAGTGGGACGTGAGGGCCTACCTGCTCGGGGGCACCTGCTCACCGGGCACCTCATGGCTCCATCTCCTCCGGTGCCTTCTGGAGGGGACCCACTCTGGCAAAGCAGGGAGAGCCTCACCAACATACGTGACACCCTGGTGCCCCTCACCAACTGCCCCCTCATCAGCTGCCTCTCACCAGCTGCCCCTCATTATCTGCTCCTCATCAGCTGCCCCTCACCAGCTGCCCCCTCAGGGCTCTCCGCCCATTGGGGCGGCAGGCGCGGGGTCTCTCCCCCTCTCTCGCTCATCCCAGCTCTCCTCCCTCTCCCCACAGGACAGGATTTTGGAGAAGGTGGGACTGTGCAGCCACTTGGCCATCAAGAGCTGGTCGATGTCAGCCAGGGGTGTGGCAGGAGAAGGCTCTGTCCTCCCCCTCATCCCTCTTTCCCTCAGGCCACCGCCTCCCCTCGCAGCGCCGGCTCGCCAGGGAAGGTGGATGTGGAGGGTTGGGAAGGGCACGGGCAGGGCAAGGACCGGCGGCTCCCCCTGCCCTGCCCGCAGCACTACACACGGAGCAGGCAGCAAACCATCCTCCAGCGTATTTCAGATACCCACAAAAGGGTCTGCCAGCACATCGCCGAGGAAAGCAGCTCGGTGGTGGTGTCCGTGGGGTGACTCATGGCTGGGCTGCCCCCCTGGAAGCCTCGTTGCTTCCTGTCACTTCTCAGCACCACGGGGATGCACGGCCTGTGGGAACGCTCCCCATCAGGGATCCATTCCACAGGATCCTGGCTGGCCAGGCAGAATTTCAAGGGGACTATTTTTAATTTCTCCCCCTCCCTCATCATCTAATGGTGCACACACAGCCCACAGTAAGGTCCGTGTGTCTCCATGCTGGCACCACACAGAACGAAGGAATGCTTTCCTAAAGAGTGTTTCAGTGTGTTGAGAACTGGCTAATAAACCAGCTTGTAAAGTGGTGATTCAGTGATCTGTTTAATTAGGTGTAATCACCCTATTTTGTTGTACAAGAGGAGGCTGGAGGACAATGGTGGTTGGGTGACCTGGTACCACCTCGAGGATGGACTCCATGGAATCATAAACTCATCTGATAGTGACTGGTTGTCATTTTCATCTGGAAAAAGGGCATTGGACAAAACTGTCGCATTCATAAAAGGCCTGGAAAAACAACTCTCCCTCTTTGTTTCTCCCATTAACATCTCTGTTTAGGCTCCCAAACATCAGGTAGTGGTTGTCAGCAAAAATGTGGCACTCTTTGATGTGTAAAATACTGATTCTGATATCCATGAACTGCAAATTGCCACTGGTCTTTTCCTCATAAGACTCCTGACAGTTCACTCTTTAAGGGTTGAATACCTTCCATTTGCTGTGTTTTCTTTGAAATTGGCATCTGATTGATTCCAAAATTATTTACTTCTATATAAATAATCTATGTGGAATTATATGGATTAAATCCTGTAAATTGTAGTGGATCAGGATCTTTGTGATGTCCATTTGGTAAGCTCCAAAGCATGACTTAACTAAGAAGTACAAGCTAAGTAGATAGTGAGCTGAAGGGAAGAGTTGGAGGCAAACTGTGGATAGATAGGCAGAGATCAAGGTCTCAGTGAGGAGATTAATATATTCCATGGCTGCAAGAGTAGCAGCATGAGGCCACAGTTGATTGGGGACACCTTGGGGGAGGCAAGTAAGGGCTATCCTAACTTTGAAATAATTGTAGCTCTATAAACCCCTATTTAATGTTGGGAGGTCTCCACTACACCCACTTAGGGCAGGAAATACTGTTGAGATGTAATGCTGACAGCAGGTTTTAGAAAGACAGAAAGGATCAGTGACTTGGGCTCCTGAACTGTGTGTACTGAAAGGATCAGCTCAGAGACAAAATATGAAACAAAATGTTTTCATGTTCTTCCAGATGGTGTTCCCCAGTATTATTGTTATCTAGAATCTGTGCTGTGATTGTGTGCTAGAACTTGTGAATCTGTGCTTTCTCCATGGCTTGACAAGGCAGTGTATTCCTTGACATGATGCTTCATTACACCCTGCTGATGAAGGCACGGAAGAACAGCAGGGAGCACACTCACAACAGCCAGACTGAGGACGCGAAAATCACGGAATCACAGAATTGTTAGGGTTGGAAGGGCCCTCTGGAGATCATTCAGTGCAAGTCCCCTGCCAAGGCAGGGTCACCTGGACGTGACACAGGAACGCGCCCAGGTGGGTTTGGAATGTCTCCAGAGGGGGAGACTCCACACCCTCCCTGGGCAGCTGTTTCAGTGCTCTGCCACCCTCAACGTGCAGAAGTTGTTCCTCACGTTGAGGCGAAACTTCTCGTGTTTTAGTTTATGGCCATCGCCCCTTGTCCTAAGGAAAAAAAAAATCCCACAAGACCGCGGAAATCAGAACTTTCCACGAGAAATCCCAAGCGCTGCCTTCCCGCGCAAGGGGCAGCCCTTCCCCGAGTGCGGCCAGCCCTTCCCCGGGCAGCCTCCCGGCAGAGCCGAGGCTCAGACCCGGGGGGCGGTGTCCCCGCGGGCCCCCCGGCCAGCGCAGCCCTTCCGTTCGCCGGTTCCGCGCGCAGGTCACGCCGGGCCCTCCTTGAACCGAGATTACCCGGCCGGCGCCTCCGGCCGTTCCGCGCGGCTCCCCCCGGCCGCGGCCGCACCATGACCCCTGCGGCGGCTTTGCGGAGCGGCCGCACTCGGCCCGTGACGGGGCCGCGGCTCTGCCGAGCGGGGCGGGCGGGCCGAGCGGGGCCGCGGCCGGGCCATGGCGCTGCTGCCCGCGCTGCTGCTGCTGCTCGTTCCCCTGGCGGCGCTGGCGGCGGCCGCGGTGCTGCTCGGCCTGCCCAGCTACGACATCCCGCCCGGGGTGAACCAGCCGGCCAAGCTGCGCCTGGTGCTCGCCGTCCTGCTGGGCACCGCCGCCCTGGTGAGTCGCGGTTTCGGGGGTGGCGGGGCAGGGGGAGCGGTTTGGGGGGACCCCGAGGCGCTGCGGGGGATTGGCGGGGGTGTAACGGTTGCGCTAAACATGGAGAGCCTGGATGGGGACCGGCGGGTCCCCGCCCGCTCCGGGGGATGCTGGAGGCGCCGCATCGCGGGGTGGTGCTGCGGGGAGCACCCCCGGGCGGGTCCTGCCCCGGCCACCCCCGTTGGGTTCTGCCCCGAGCATCCCCAGAGCACCCCCCGGGCGGCTTCTGCTTACCCGGGGCAACCCCGGCGGGTTCTGCCCCACGCACCTCCCCTCGGGTTCTCCCCGGGCATCCCCACTCGAGGATGCTGCCCCGCTCGAAGATGCTGCCCCGGCCACCCCGGTCGGGTTGTGCCCCGAGCATCCCCACTCGAGGATGCTGCCCCGGGCATCCCCGGGCGCGGCGCTGCCCATGTCGCGGGCAGACGCCGTTCGGGAGCGCGCCGGGCTGTGTTAGCGATGGTTGCCATTGCAGCCCCCATTTGAGGGCTGGGTGGGGGTTTGCCTGATAACTGCCCGCACCTTTAGGCGATATCACCTTGCACAAGGAAAGCTACAGCCCTTCAGCTGTTCCTGTCAGAGTGGCTCTGACATTTATGGCACACAATCCGGTTAGGGCTGCTTTACTTAATCCCTGGACTCCCTTTGGCAGCATTGCATAAACGGCCTTAGAGCCCTCCTCAGCTCTGGCGCTGTCACTCTCCCTGTCTTTGAAGTTCTTAAAATCTTCAATTTCCTCCGTCGCTCCTTTTGCCACAACATCACCCCGATATCACACAGACTTTGTTTTCCTCCACACAGGTTCTTAAACCATTTACATCCTCTTTAAATTTACTGATAAAGCTGCCCAGCTCTCCTGAACCTCCACTGTTTTTAATGCCCCATGAGTCTGTCTTTATCCACTAGCAGGTGACAAGGGAGTTGATAAAGACAGACTCACTGGGCATTAAAAATAAGGATCTTTAGCCAGTGAACAATGTAACAGTTTATGTGTTTGATCACCAACTTCTTGTTTGTTCACTTATTACATCATATTTATATTCTAGCTTGCAAGATAGCATTGCAAGAGCATTGGGAAAGCAAGCAGCTTCATTCTGTTCAGTAGATCTGTTGTGTAAATAAAAAGCAATAACTAACTTGCACAACACAGCTCAGCACTTCAGATTTGCAAATTCACTGAGTTTTGTGGTCTAATTCATGAATATCAGTTTCTGCAATGAAGAACTGGTTCTACATATGGCAGTTCATTGCTGTTACCAAGTGTAAATGAAACAAGAATGAGCACAGAGGTGTGCAGGACAATACTGACAGTTAAAATATATACTGCAAGACAACCAGTTTGGTTGACCTTTACAGAATTTCTGATGTGACATTACAGTGACATTGGAGTTGAGTTGAACAAGTAAATTTTTTTACAGGCTGTAGGATGTGAGAACTTGGAAAAATTGTTGGTTTTTTTTTTTCCGAATCAGAGCTCTGTATAATTTCCCTCAAATACAGTTTGATGTAAGTATGATGCAGAGTTTTTATACCTTGCCTAACTCAAGACTTCTAAAGATGCCTTAATCTCTTTCACCTTTAACAGGGAAGGATTTTGGAGAAGACTGGGCTTTGCAGCCAAATCAGTTTTGGCCGATATGTGCGACAGGGACGGAAACTAGGGCTGGATCCAAAGCTCTTCATCCAGGATCTGCAGTTTAATGAAGTACCTGTGAGGGTTTATCAGCCTAAAGCTACCTCTGATGGGCGAAGGAGAGGCATCCTCTTTTTTCATGGAGGAGGCTGGGTATTTGGAAGCCTTGGTAAGATACTTCCCGGAGGAATCGTAGTAAAGTCTTTTTTACAAAATAGAAATAAGCACGTGGTTTGGGAGGGAGGAAGTCGGAAGCCTTTCTGGAATGAGCATTCCCTAGGCTGTCTCAAAGATGAGGGCAATAGCAAAGCACTTATGACAGTGTTTCTTTTCCAGATACCTATGAAAAGGTGTGTCGTTACCTCTCCAGGGAGAGTGACTCGGTGGTTGTGTCTGTGCAGTAAGTGAACCCTACCCAGTTCTGTTGTTGGGAGATTATTGTTGCTGTGGTGCCACAGCAGAGCTGCACTGGTTTTGGAGATGCTCTTTTTCGTCAGAGAAATTTCTGTAGAAGTCAGTGAAGCCCATAAAGAGAGAAAGAGTGATAATGGAGATTTCACAGCCCTTAACTGCTCGTGCCCAGAGGTGCTCAGGAAAGATACACATGGAAATATTTGGCACATTAAGGAAATATATAAAAGCCAATCAAAAACTTGGATGAAAAACATCTTCCTTATGCTGAACATATGAACATGAAATAAGATCCTCCAAGCAATTGGGATCTATAGGAAAAGAGAGAATAATCACATGTATTCCTCCCATTTTCACATAGGAAGCAGAGGCACAAAATGTTTAATTTTCTTGGCAAGAGTACAGAGGAAGTTTTGAGTGTGACTAAGACCTTGCACAATTCCTTGGTCAGATCCTTAATCAGAGGCAATCCTACTTCAGTGAGTCCTTGTGACTGACTACACAATTTACAGCTTATGTGCAGTCACAAACTGAGGAGTGCCTGCTTAGGAGGTGATGTGGAACAAGAGCACCCCAAAATGATAGGGCTGAAGGACAGAAATATGACACCATTTCCTGATTACTACTGACAACATTCCCTTCTCTCACACTTGCCTCTCTGTGTCCCAGGTACCGTCTGGCCCCTGAGCACAAATACCCCGCTGCCTACGAAGACTGCCTGAACGCCACCCAGCACTTCCTGCACCGCCTGGAGCACTACGGCGTGGACCCTGCCCGGGTCACTGTCTGTGGGGACAGTGCTGGGGGCAACCTGGCAGCTGCTGTGAGCCAGACCCTTGCAGGCAGGTCAGACTTCCCCAAACTGCGTGCTCAGATCCTGCTCTACCCGGGCCTTCAGGCCCTGGACTTCAATTTACCGTCTTATCATCAAAACCGAGGAGTCCCCCTATTATTCCGAGAACGTGCTGCTTTCTTTGCTTTGCTGTACCTAAATGGAGATGCACTGCACATGCAAGAGGTCTTGGAGGGCTCTCATATTCCTCCAGACATGAGGGTGAAGTACACAAAGTGGGTGAGTCCAGACAACATCCCCGAGAAATTTAAGGTCAGAGGTGTGAGACCACTTAGGCCCACTGATTTTATAGCTGAAGTTTATGAGACGGTGAAGAGATTCTGTGAGCCCAACCTGTGCCCTCTGTTGGCTGAAGACTCTGTTGTTCAGCAGCTGCCAGAATCTTTCATCCTGACCTGTGAGTACGACGTGCTGCGGGACGACGGCTTGTTGTACAAGAAGAGGCTGGAGGACAACGGTGTCCGGGTGACCTGGTACCACCTCGAGGATGGATTCCATGGAATCATAAGCCTCTATGATTATTGTGGTTTCTCATTTCCATCCGGGAAGAGGGGATTGGACAGCGTTGTTAACTTCCTGAAAAGCTTATAGTAAACATCTTAGATTCCACGAGTCTGTTCATGCCTCAACCTAGGAAAATATCTTTTTAGGATATTTAATATCAGGTGATGGGTAGTCAGTCAAGGGCAGCCAATTAAGAATGATAAACAAAGCTCATCAGAACCTCATTCCAGCTGTTAGTTGGAACATGGGATATGCAAACCTTATACAAGCCTGTACCATGCTGCAAGCCCTTACCTTTAGCTCTGTCAGTAAAGGAGAATGGTACTTTGAATGGACATCCTGGTCTGTACCAGCTGTTTAAAATAAAATGTGTGTGTATGAAGAGAAACTGTGTGTTAGCAGGTATGTGTGGTGTGTTGGTGCAAGGTGTTCTGAACTCTGTTAGATCAAAAGAACCCACCTCAGCTGACTTTAGTGGGTTAGAAGCCACTGTTTTGGTCAACAATAAATATGATGCAGCCTAAAACGTGGTCACTGTCACTGTGGGGATAACAAACAAATGGTTCCATGGCAGCTCCACACATCACCCACATTTCTCAGCACACAGGCAGGACTGGAGCCCCTTTCTACCCCAGTTTTAGCACTGGACTACTGGGTAATGTTTAACCCAGATAACTTGAAGGATGGTTCCAACAGCCAGGGAGGGTCGTGCTGGTGAGGCAAAGAAATATGTTTGCATCACAAAAAGGTGGATGGGATTGGTGGAAAATTGAACCCAAACACTCTACTACAGTTCTCTTTGGAAACTGGCTGGAGAAGAGGACAAGAGGAAGATTGGGAAAGAAAGAGGGGAAGATCAGGAAGGTGGGAGCAGGAACACAGGGTCAGACTCAGTGCTGCAGCCATCAGCTGGAGTCCAGGCTCATCCCAGAAGAGTGATAAAAGGGAGAAGGATAAACATCTTGCTTGGCCTATATTAATTCTTTCTGTTTATGATCTGCCATTCCTCTCCCTAAGCCAGGGCAATTAAAAATGCTATGGCCCTTCTTAGGGCAGTCACTTGAAGCTGCTATACCACTTACATACAACTGTTCAACAACACAGACAATACCAACATCATGCAGGAGAGGCTTCATTAATCCTCCAGAATTTTATACTTCTCATAATGTGTATCAGAGGATCTTTAATAACTTGATATTGGTTTCATTTGCTTCTAGAAACAAGAGCATCTTTGCTAGCAGAGCTGCTCGACAGATTTCATGCCCTGCCTAAGAGCTCAGCAAAATTTTGTCATTAGATATTTAACTTTGTCAAAACATGCCAGTTAGGTTCAATATTGGAGCTGTTCAGGCAAATCCTCCTGACTCTGCTAAAATTACTTCCCTTAGATTTTTTTTTTTCCTGTAGCAAAGTGCCAGACTGTATTGCAGAGCCTGGCTGCTGCAGCAGAAATAGGAACAAAGGGGGAAAACCAAGTTAATTCATTCTTTTCAGATGCTGGTTCACATGGCAGGTAGAAGTATTTAACACCAAGCCATGGCCAATTTTTCAAGGACTGTACAGTATTTATACTTATATATTTATTAATAATTAACAATGATAAATATTAATTTATAATTAGCAATATTTTATATATCTTATACTAAGGAACCAATCCAGAATTTTACACTGGCTGATTATACCAGCTGAGATAAAGTTCAGAACCCAGACTTCTTCCCCAAAAAGTCCTTTTTAGAGGCATAGAGGAAGAAAGGAGCGCTGGGACTGGGCTGCCTTAGCTATACTGAATTTTGTGTATTTCTCATGTCTATAAAAGACACCGTGAAACTCAGCAGCAGCTTATACAGGAAAGTCTTTATCTACTCACAGACCAAACACTGAGGAGAGCCACGATGGAGAAATTTGAGGTAAGGAAAAGAAAATTTCAGTGTGGGGCTGTGTGTGCCAACATTCCAGACAGGGATGATCTGTGACTAATACTTAAATCCTATTTTATATATCCTTAAACAACTGTATGTGTAATGGAAGGCACTGCAGCTCCGTGGCCATTCCCAGGCCATAGAGCTCCCCTGCAGTTCTGATTCCAGAGGGATCCCTTCCAAGGCAAACAAACTGCTTGGTACCCTCTGGATGTTTCCCAGTCTCTGCCTTGGAGGGTGACCAGGGCACAGGAGGAGAACCAGTGTGTTCCTACCAGCTGGGACTGGGTATTGTGTCTTCAGGGCCCTCCCTGAGCTCTAATAGGAGCTTGGTGGTAAAATAGGATTATTTGAATCAGCACACCTCCAATTTACACAAACAAACTGCACTTCAGTGAGGCCCAGATCTTTCACAATATTTCTCCCACAAGTGTCATCTGCTAGAACATCCCTTTCACCGAGGTGCCTCAACACCCCCAGATATTATCACTCTCTCCAGACAGGCAGCTGGAAGGTAGGATATGCAATGCTACTGCACCACAAAACACTTAAGCAGCACAAGACAATCAGCTTTTCATTTCCAGCCTTCTTAAATGTGTCTGCAAATCCGTGATGCGTGTGTGGAAATCAGCCTAATCAGATCTCATGACATGCAGATGCAGTTGCTTAAGTTAACTGGAAATTTACTTTGCTTGAAATGCAAATGCCCTTATTTTCAGGGATTAAATTTTAAGTAAAAGTAATACAAGGACTGATATCACAGTGTGATATCACTGGCAGTACAGTCAGATCAAAAGCACACTGAGCCACCTGAATGCTGTGCACAAGCAGCATGATTTCATCATGTGCATCTCATTTCAGAGCCTGCCACTGCAGCATTTCTTCACCCATCACAAGGAACAAAGAAGCCAAAATTTAGTATTGGAGTGTGACAATAACTGCAATAAACATGGTTACAACCTGTGCTGCCTCCCCTCCAGAGCTGAAGTGGATGCAGGTTGGCCTGGATTCCTCAGAAGTCAGATTTCCCCATTCTCAGTAGTTTTTGGAATTATTAATTCAATCAGGTGGAACATGGTGCAGTGGTCAATATATGGATTTAGAGCCAGGAACCTCCTTCTGTTTTAATTCCGAAAATAGATCTTGTGGTGACTTTTGGCCACTTTCTTACCCAGTCAGGAGCTCAGTTTTTGGACTGATAAAGTGGAAATGTTGTCCATACAATACTTAATCACCACAGGAAGCAGGGAAGGAGAGTGTCAATGGGCAGATTTCTCTCCCCTTTTCAATACCAGCTGAAGGCAAGGAGAGCTGTGGGATACAAGTAGCAGGAGAATTCATGGACTATTATGATGTTTCTAAATTTAAGTGAAATGTAAAGCTGTGCTAACTTTTTTAATATCTACCAAAGAGGCTATGAAGAGTCAGGACTCCTGATTGATGCCATTACTGCAGTTCCTGTCGATATCTAACAGTGATTTTCCAGCCAGAGGAAGACACACGTGCCCTGGGAACAAAAAGCTCTGTTTTGCCCTTACTCTGCTGTCAAACTAGTACAAACATCACCTATGACAACTGTGGAGTAGAAACACCAGAACCACAAATTTAATTCCATAATTTCTGACATTTCATCGTGTCTCAGAACCACCCACCAGCTCTGGGCTTCCTGAGCACCTGATGGGGAACTGCACAAGAAAGAAGCTGTGAAAGCCCAACAATTCCTGTGAAAGCCCAACAGTTTCTGCTTTTGCTCCCTGTCAGCTGAGACAACCAGCTAAAAACTCATGCTCTCCCTTCCAGCCAGGGACATCTTCCCCAAAATGTTGTAGAATCCTGGACTGTAAAGGGGGTCAGAATATCTGTAAGGCTTTGGCCAACTGCTGAGAGACAGAACAGCCAGGGACAACGCTGTGTAAACTGCTTAGGGTGATCTTAAGCACTGCTTAATATAGATTGTTGTGTGAGCTGTGCCATGTAGAAGGGATGAGAATTAGGTTATATAGGCACAGAGCTTTTTACTAGTTAGAGCAAGTTGCTGGATTACATCCTGACCTGCAGGTGGCCAGGAATATTTCAGAAGATATTAAACCACAGAAAACAAATTTTTTATCTTTTGGTTTTTAGTCCATGAATAGTTGCAGTAAGAAAAAAAAAAATAACTGGGATTGAACCTGAAAGGACATAAACCTCATAATTGCTTTGCCCTTTGTGTTGTCATTTTTACACAGCTTGCTGTGCTTTTTTTTTTTAAGAAAGAGCAGAAAAGAACCTTGTGTTATTCCATATTATGCCTGAAACATCCAAGAATAAAGCAAACCTATGAAATAGCTGCATATGCAAGGCCAAGGTGAAACAAGGTTCCTCCCAGTGCAGGAAGCAGGCAGACCTTGATTGCCCTTGGCTTTACATACAGAACAGCACTTAAGGGTAGATAAGCTGCAGAGTAAACTCCATTAGCTGACCTTGAATTACCAAACTGTAAACACGGAGGGAACAGCTCTGGGTGGCCTTTACAGCCCTGGATAGGCCACCCTGAGACTTCACTCCGTTGAGGAAGTACCAAAAGGACCTCTGTAAAAAGTGCTGGCAGAAGCCCAAATTCTTATTGCCCTAATGTGCAACTTCTGCCTTGAAATCACGTTTGGTCCAGAGCAGAGATCTGCAAAGCTCAGCTGCTCTGGGGCTGAGGCTCAACAATAAACCTGCAGCAAGTTAGATTCAATATATCTGGAATTACTTCAACACAATTCATCATATTTTTTTTTGCTCAAGATTAGCAATATTATAGTTATTTTTAGGAACAAGATAAAGCATATACCTTAGTCTTGGCATGGACAAGCCCCTGGCCATGGTCTGGATGGAGTTCTACGTCTGCAGCATTTTAGCCACCGTGCTTTAGGTTTGCTTTTTCAAGGTTGGGTTTGCAACTGAAGGGCATTGGCGACTCGGGCGTGTGTGCAGAGCAACAGTGGCACCTATAGGCAAAGGGATTCATCCGTGAGACACCCAAAACCGGCTGCGGGACAGGTACGAGCCCCTCAGCTGGGGGCACGAGCCAGAGAGCAGCGTTGTTAATGAAATCTTTTAGAGCCCGGATAATTAGATAAGCGTTATATGGTTGTTTTTTTATTTTAGGCTTCAAAGCCCCAGGGAGATCAAAGGCAATTAGAAAAAATTGAAAGCAAAATAGGTGAAAGTCACTGAATCACAGCCAGCTATTAGTGCTGTGCTATTAAAGGCATTCTCTTGAAAAAACACCTCTAAAATAATCCATAAAGAATGGATTACAATGGAATGAAAACTGGTGGACACAGAAATTCTTGTATCCACAAGGAAGTCCTCCATATTAATTTTATTGCCAATATAACTATTAAAAGTGTATTTTTCAGTTTGTTCCCATCTGCTAATATTTTTAGTGGCAATACCAGTCAGGAACCTTTATAGCACAACAGAGCCCAGATAATACCTAGAATGCAGCTTAGAAAATTACACAAAGGTACCCCTAATTTCATACAACTCTGATCAGTTTGCTTAAAAATCTGCTCATCAATCATTCATAATTATTAAATATTTATAACAAATGAAATATTTATGCTTATCATCTACTGTGCTTCTAAAAGCAAAGCTTATATATGGAAAGAAATGACTGGCTTGATGTACAGGGAATTACTGAGAGGCACATGAAATTTGTATGAAAACATTAATTCTAAATCTGAAAGCTGCCTGGGCAGGGCTCCCCCAGCACAGGCCCGATCTGTTTTTATTGAGCCATTTACAATTAAATATACAACCACAACACCCAAAGGAGCCCAAGGTAACCAGGTGAAATTAATTCTGGTAGGGAGCTTCTTAAGTAGGAAAATGCACAGCTCTACCAGGCCTGTCAGGTGGGATTAGTGATACCTGGTGGCAAAATATCCCCTTTGAGCTGTTTAACTGAGGAGCTGTTTTCACCTGGGCCATCTAAACCTGCCTCACACAGCCCCAGCTTTGTGGGGGCTCCAGTTGAACTCAGGGCAGAACCATCCAGGCTCCTGCAGCTCTTGGACCGAGTTCAGCGGTGGTGGAACCAAACACCAGCCAGCCAGTAAAACCTGAATGTAGCTTTATCTCAAACATTCCACAAGACAGAATTTCAGACAGAATAGCACCGATAATAAAGGTTTCCCCCTTCTTTTTCCCCCCCCTACAAAACTCAGCTGACCTAAATTATTCCAGACAACCCCCCCAAAACCACAAAGTTGAGCCACTGCTGGAAGCAGTGCTGCAAACACGTGGCTACACCAAGATTATCTCATTTATATTTCCTTTCTGACCACCGTGAGTGGGTCTCACTCCAGGTTCTCATCCTGCTCTATCCCCTGGTTTGCTGCCCGCAGGGGAGAGAAGCACAGACACAGTTGTTCCCAAGTACCACGCTGCATCTGGCAGGAGTAGGAATGGCTGATAAACTGAAGGATTCCTACAGCCCCAACTTTGAGACACTAATTCTTGCTGAGACAAGCGGTGCTGTTTAATCAGTTACAGTGTTGCTTTAATAATAAACACCCTTGCTGTGTCTACCACAACACTGCCCAGCTCACTCCAACCTTCAGAAATTACAGGGGCTTTTGTTGAAGGCAAACCCACTGAAACAGAGGTTATTTTGCCTGTGCTTCAAGAACCTGTAAAAACGGAAGGAATTAAGATGCTCACAGCTGTCATGGAAAGAATTAAGATGCTCACAGCTCATGGAAAAGAGGTGAGAAAATCTGAAATGCCATCATTACAAATCTTCAATAAGCCAGAAATCTATTTACTAGTAAGTAGAAAATGCAGCCAAGTCATGAAAATGTGCAACAGAAATGCTGGGTTACACTGTAAAATGTCCACTTCTCAGGAAGAGGGGATATTAATGATGAAAATAGCATAACCTTATAAAGAAAAGAGATCAACTTGACATATAGACCTGGAGATAAAACTTCTTGAACTTGGAGACCCTTGAAATATGGAGGAAGTTTGGAATTTAAGTATGTTTCTATCAGACAAGTAAATAGGTAATGTTTGTTCTGGTCCACTCTGATGTTGTAAGGAGTAACCCCAAGCACTCTGAGGCTCCTGGGAATCGTTATAATATGCAAAGGATGACATTTTGCAGATGTGCCAGATTTTTCCAACCTTCTTTTCAGAAATTCTTTTTAATCTCATGGCCTTGCAGTCACTTGTGACTGAAAAGCAAGAGCTCACCAGGCTCTTCAGTTTTTCAAATAGATGTTTTGATACAACTCTCTGTTATGAAAACGTTCCAGACAGTCTTGACTCCACGAAATCAGCCTTGTGTTTGAAGTTTCGTGACATTGAAGAGGCCAAACAGTGGTTAGAGTTGATGCACATGTCCCGGGGGCAGCGGATTTCTTGCCTTGAAGGAGACACGTGTCAGCCTGGATGAGCTGCGGGAACAAGAGGCAGATTCCTGGGCCTGAGAGGCTCCGTCAGGGCTGGGGCTGTGACAGGGACACTGATTCTGGCTGGCAAGTGCTGCAATAATTGGGGGCTGCCGAGGCCAGTTGTGGGGTGAGGGTGGTCACAGAGACTAAACGGCAGCGTTTCAGGGAGGAGAGAAACGGGCTGTTGACTAGAAATCGTTGCCATGGTCAGGAGGCCTCTTCTGGAGTTATAAATATTCCTTGGAAGGTGCTTACAAAGAGCTATCCAGGCCAGTTAACTGGTAAAACAGCCTTGCTGGTCTGTGTTTGAGCACTGCCTAACGGGGGCACAACAGCTGCCAAGTCCTGTCCTCCAAATCTGCACATCCCACTGCTCTGATTCCTTTGAACAGCATCTTTAAGCCTGTTTAGCTCCTGGGGCTGGGATTCAGACTCATCCTTCTTCCATAAGAATATGAAAAAGCTTTCTCTGCTGGCAGTGACACGAGGCACACATTCCTCACAAAGCTTGGTGTGTATTTGAATGTTTATTTTTCACATTGGTGATGAAACATCAAATTGCCATTAGTAACGAGGCTTTTCCTTTTTTAAATCTTTGCACTGTTTGTTGCTCTGAGCTGGTCAGCTCTTAAAAGGCACCATCTTAAAGCCATGCCTTTGATGCTCCTTTTTTTCTCTGTAAGTCCAAAGGGATCTCACTTGCAACACACCTGTGACGATAATCTCAGTGTCATATGGGGTTGTAACACTTCAGGAAAAAATCCATTTACTTAAAAAAAAAAATCAATTCCTTTTCAGAGGAATTCATATTTGGTCCCTCTATTCTAGACAGGGCGGTTTTCCTCATAGGAACATCATCACCCATCAGCAGGAACTGCAGCTCCCACCAGGATTTTCATCAAACAAAGCAAATTCCTGAAACAGGAGCTGTGTCACCCAGATCTGGACAGGGGCACCGAGAGCCACATCCACTGATTCCACTCAGACCAAGTTAACCAGTAGGCAGGGTAAGGCTCTGCTTAATCACCTGAACAAAGACTGCACAAACTTCACAAAATGTGACACATCCTTTGCAGAAACATCTTACTAATTCATACTTCACATTTCAAAGGAGCCACTTATCTCCAAGAGCAGCTGTAAGCAACAAAAATGCAGCAGCACATCCTGAACCTGATTTGTGCTATGAGCTGACTCTGGTGAAGACATTCCCTCAGTTCTTTCCCTTTTTCTTGTTTTCTTATGATTTAAAACTGCACAAATTCAAAAGGCTACTTGTGGGAATTACTTCACAAATGCATAAGTTTGGGATATTGCAGAACTGCTGGAGAACAGAATTCTATTTTTCTGTATGTAATTGTGAGGGAACTCCTAAGCTTGCTGGTGTAGAGAAGAACTGCCCTGGCAGTGTATAAAGCACTTAATTTGTAGTTGCAGGGATGGGAACATTTTCTCTGGGTATAGAAGGACCCAAGTTCTATTCAACAATGACC